GATTTAATCAATGAATTTGCGTACAATAAATCAAGAAAAAAAAGTACTTTAAGTACCACTGTAATTTCAATAAAATGTGAATCAGTTTCATGTATTTACTTTTCGGTATTCAGAATTGTCTTGTATCTTTTAAGCAGAAACGACAAAAATCATACGAACAATCATGTTTTTTAAATAGCAAATGTAAAATATGTATGTATTTAGATCATTGTTATTATTTAATAATAATAATAATCCCGTTTTAATATTAGCCCCTGAGCCAAAAATATCTTAAAGGGGAAGCATGGTTTAGCATGCATGCTGAAAAATTAGGTGACTCTTTTGGATTTTTTTTAGGAAACTATTCAACCAATCCTTTTGAATTTTATAGGGTAATTTTTTATACTATTGAACTAACTAAAAAATATTTTTTTGCCAGAAAAAAGTATTTATTATGCAAGTAATAATAACATTTATTCGGCGGTGATGGTGTTTGGCGGCATGCAAGATAAAACTATTTATCCGATTGACTTGGGCCTTTGCACACATCTGCAGAAATACTTCCCTAATAACTTGAACCACAGTTTATAATAATATTATTTAATTAAATAATTTTTATTGCGTAATAAACACGACAAATTTTTTGCTAAAATCGCTACCTTTTTTTCCAAGTGTCGCGATTTTCACAATTTCGCATTATTTTCTTTAAAAATTGATTCAGTTAATGCGTAAACTCTTAATAAACAATCATCTTTTTGGATTTTTTATTTCGAGACAAATACAAGCGACGCTACATTGCATGCCGCACGCCGACGCGCCGAATAAAAAGTTATTATTACTTGCATAATAAATACTTTTTTCTGACAAAAAAATATTTTTTTGTTGTTCAATAGTATAAGAAATTACCCTATAATGTTCAAAAGGATTAGTTGTATAGTTTCTTTAAAAAAATTGCAAAAATCACCTAATTTTTCAGCATGTTAAGACTCCCTCCTTAAACTGGCTCTGGTTATGAATTTTAATCCTTTGCAAGGAACATTAAACGTTTTTTTTACACAAATTTACTTTATGCAGTTTAATATATGAACTATAACATTCAAAATTGATTAGCGTACGTCTATATTAGTGTACCATTCTGACCATTTTACTTTTCTTCAGAATAGTTTCTCTCTTTTGTTACGAAATACCTGTCTATGTATATTTTGTGTGCAAAATTATTGGCGCTACATTCATATTTTGTGAAACAAATTAAGCTCCAACATTACGAGTCATTGTCAGTTAACGTCTACTAATCATTAAGGGGTTACACCACCTTGACCGCCTAAAAATCATAGATAACTTTGGGAATTCTTTTTAGGAAAACAATAAAAGTAATAAAAAATTCGTTTTAAGACTTTAATAATACAAGTCTTTAGAAGTAAAAATATTTTTTTCATTAATTTTTTTAATAAAATGACGACGCTGAAGCCATTTTATTAAACGTCGTTTTGTCAGCCACTGTCAAATCGGCGTTGCGGGGATCTGCGATTCAATTAAACCTGGAGCAAAAAACCAAATTTTTTTAAAACTATATAATATGCACTAAAGAAATACATACGGATATTTTAAAATATAGATTTTTATAAAAATTGCCAACATTTGAAAAAAAGTGTCATTTTCGGCCAAAAA